CAAGCATCACATCCAGTATAATAAAACCGTGCAGAGAGAGCGTTATGGCTTTAGCTGATAGGCACTGATCTGTGTGTCGGGGCAAAGCAGAGTTCATGGCAATGAGATAGCCGACGAGCTCTCTGGATGTCTCAGAGCCAGAGGAGGTTCTTGTGCCTCTCAGTTGTGGACTAGAAAAAAGTAGCTAAAAGTAGCGCAAACGCACTGCTCATTCTCATTAAAATGAATAGGAGGGACTAGGACTAGAACACAACACTTCTTGTCGTAGCTGTAATTCACCATACGGAGAGGAAACGGTAAAGGCTCTGTAATTTCCCAGCTCTATTATGACTAAAAGCAGACTTGTAGACAAACCCTACTTATGCGGTTTAACAAACATAAGGGATAATAACACACTGCAACTTTTTAAGTTCTTGAACGCCACATGCTGGATTTGAGAGAAATAACCTACTTCTGGTTTTTCTTTTCGTCTTTTCATTTCAGGTTAAATTGCGAGTAGTGGTTCTAGAACGACGCGCATAGTTGTTAAATGGGGTTTTTAAACTCGCCACTTCAGCCAACCAACCAACGCTTGGAGGTTTGCCATTGCCTGTCGCTGTTTGAAACAACCTTTTATATTTTTAAGTAGAGTTTGCTCGCATCAGGGATCGAACCAAGTACTATCGGGTGCGCATCTCTAGGTACTCAGTAAAAGGAAATACATGTAAATAGGTTCAGACGGCATCTTATCTACCTACATTCCCTCAAGTGATGATTGGGTGGGGCGAGATGACTGGAGGAATAAGGCAGTGAACTTTTTCTCGGATGTATTGGAAGTGGAAGATAATGTCGGTGGAGCGGATTTTTTACACCCGCATAAAATTCAGACTTCCGTTCTTCTTCAGGGTTTTTCAGTACCAGTCATTAAACAAGCAGTGGACTTATTGCTGAAGAGTGTGACATCAGTTAGAGAGCTAAACATATACATATGTACATATGTACTACGATAAAAAGCGACCGTCAGGGCACTGAGCGCAATGATGGTGCACTCGAAACTGGTCAGGGGAATGCCCCAATACCCTGCCAATTATGACTGAAAACCTTTTTATTTGGCTCGTTGGCTCATACATGACGACTTGGTAAAGAGGGATAGGGAGCAGTTGTGGTGCCTCTGACCTGTGGTTCACCCATGGATCATGTGGTTCATCTCAACAAGAGCTGAGCCAAGACTAGAACCGGAGCAATCGCAAGATCCTTCATTGTCCTCATTGTCCGATTGGTACTCAAGCAGTAAGGTTATTGATATTACCTGATTCCCCCTGCTACAGCTGCCAGAAGAAGGATGAGGTCGAATATCCTTAGCAGTTATTACTTTTAGGAGGCCCAGCTTTCGTGAGATTAAGGTTGAAATAGTCTGGCTTGCATTTCCTCTCTAGCCCTGAGGAAGTCTCTCACCTTCAAAAACTTACGTGGTATCACAAAGGACAACCACTAAGCATCCAAATGCGTCCTTATCCCGGACAACCACAGTTAAATAAGGGTATTCACCAAATTGAGCAAGTGACCTGCCACTCTGGAAAAAGAGCTGATTGGCTCAAACCAACGAATGTTGTCAAAGTTGTTACTTGAGCTAATCAGCTCTTTTTGCCTAAAGTTCTGAACACATTGAAAACGACGAGTTACGGCCCACAGCTTCCAATTTATTATATTCATTATCTAAACGCTTTGTCGATGACGACAAGATTATTTTGAACGAGGCAGCGACATCATGACATCATGAATTTGTATGAGTTTTACATAAAATAAGAGTAAGAACCTTATCTGTCGCTGGAAAAATAGAAGTAGATCTAATCTGGCACAGTCGTCGCGTAGCCCGGTCGTCGCCAAAATAATTATTTACATAAGATTACGTGTCAAAATAATTTGACAGCTGTGGTCCGTCGCTCATCGTTTTCATTGCGTTCGGGCTATTACTGCCAGGCCACCGGCTCAATTTGGTCAATACATTTAAAGGTATTTAAAAAAAGGATTTTAAATAATCAAAAATGTTTTTCGTGAATAGCACGGTGTTTTCAGCGACGTTCAGCTCACGAAAGATGCAGAATTGGGGAAAATATTTTAGAGGCAATCATAAAATAGACAAAGAAGCAGCAACTTATTTCCGTGAGGCATCCTAATGTATGTACGTATTCATATACATACGTTAGTATGGGAGTATTAAATACGAGCAATGATTCGCTTTAAAATACTTCTATATCTATATATACATATATGCATATCGTCGTTTAAAGTACAAACCTGCGTATCAAGAAAATGCAAAACCTCTTATGTGAGGTTGCCTTAATTTTATAGGCGAGGGTAAAACTTCTCTTATTTCAAAACGGATTACAATAAAGTGCAAGTTTCAAATGGCTAGAAATTGTGGTTAATATTATAAAATTTTTTTGTCCCACTTTCTTCCATATCAAAGCGAAGCTTGTTTTTTTTTAATACTGTACAAAGTATGAAACGTGGATTAAGACGGGGTTTTTTTAATGAATGAACTATTTTTTTTTATAAAACAAACTAAGATTAAATAACAAAAAAAAAAAATATGTTTAAACTTGTCAATATGTGGTGCGGCAGTAACTTTTTCGACCTTTGCATCTAAGCCGGTCCATATATATGCACATGGATGCGGCAATGATGAGCGGATGTTGAAGATTTGTATAAGANTATCAAGAAAATGCAAAACCTCTTATGTGAGGTTGCCTTAATTTTATAGGAGAGGGTAAAACTTCTCTTATTTCAAAACGGTTCTTTCTTTTATCCATAATTATAGCTTCTTATTATTTCTAAGTATCGATATTTTAGTATGAAAGGATAAGGGCTTCATGCCAAGAGCTTCCGGTGAGCAAATAGCTTTTTTGGCACAAAAGTCAGTTAAGAGGTTTTGTAGAACCACGATAGGCGGTTTTGTATTTTAAATGACGATATACAGATATGTACAGTGGTCCAAAAAATTACAGCCGCACCACATATTGACAAGTTTTAACATGTTATTTTTATTTTTATTTAATTTTAGTTGTTTCTTTATAAAAATAAATACAGTTTTAAACTTTGTGCAATATATAAAAAAATCAACAATCTTTTGAAAAAACTTCGAGCTTTGTAATTAGATTTCTCAGAAATATTTTGAGCATGCAGTTGTGTTTAGAATAAAGTGCAAGTTTCAAATGGCTAGAAATTGTGGTTAATATTTTAGAATTTTTTTGTCCCACTTTCTTCCATATCAAAGCGAAGCTTGTTTTTTTTAATACTGTACAAAGTATGAAACGTGGATTAAGACGGATTTTTTTAATGAATGAACTATTTTTTTTATAAAACAAACTAAGATTAAATAACAAAAAAATAATATGTTTAAACTTGTCAATATGTGGTGCCGCAGTAACTTTTTCGACCTTTGCATCTAAGCCGGTTCATATATATGCACATGGATGCGGCAATGATGAGCGGATGTTGAAGATTTGTATAAGGAAACGACAGCTGTTAACGTGCAAAATCTAAATCAAGCAAGCGAGAATTTCTTTAGCAAATAAAGTAGGCCATCCAAGCAAAGACAACAAAGAATTGTGACTGCATACATTTATTGNTGTTGAAGATTTGTATAAGAAAACGACAGCTGTTAACGTGCAAAATCTAAATCAAGCAAGCGAGAATTTCTTTAGCAAATAAAGTAAGCCATCCAAGCAAAGACAACAAAGAATTGTAACTGCATACATTTATTGTACATACATACATATCGTCGTTTAAAGTACAAAACCGCGTAACTGACATTTGCTGCCAAAAATAATTTATGCAACCTCACATACGCGGTTTTGCATTTTGTTGATACGCGGTTTTGTACTTTAAACGACTATATGTACGTATGCAGATTATTGGAGTTAACACATAGGTGGATGTTTGTATCCCCTGCAAAAAATGCGAGTAATCGGGGATGACTCCGGGAGTAATCGCAAAGGACGGGTACAAAAAGCGACTAGTCACTTTAAAAAATTAAAATTAAAATTTGCGCCAGCCGCGATTCGAACCAAAGTGCTCAGGTTTGTTGAGCGAATACTCTCTCGNCTTTAAAAAATTAAAATTAAAATTTGCGCCAGCCGCGATTCGAACCAAAGAGCTCAGGTTTGTTGAGCGAATACTCTCTCGTTAAATCGTTAATAGTACCCGTTAGAGATGAGTCGGGGACTAATTGATCTCCAATTATACCCGTAAGGGATGAGTCGAGACTAATTGATCCCGATTAGTACCCGTATGAGACTAGTTGCGACTAATTAATGCCCAATTGTACCCGATTGAGAGTAATCTCGGAATACTCTCTTTGGAGATTAGTCGCACAATTTCTGGCAGGGTTAGTTGCTGGTTTATTCGTAGTTTTGGTACTTTGGTTTTCCTTGCTTCATTATAAAGTCATAAATTTTCCAATATGTACATATGTACATGTACTTACGTCGCCTCGTACAAAGACCCCGGACAACAATACGTACGCACGACCCTGATGGTCTGATTATGGCAACTTAACGTAACTTACGGCTCTCTCTTAAAAATTCTGTTAAATGGGTGTTGCTTATAATTTAACGCAACTTAATGCCACGTCAAAATCTGTTTCATTTTGATTCACTAAGTTCCACGTTCCATTAAATTAAGTTAAGTCGCCATAATCAGGCTTTGACCCTTGACTTTAAAGTGAGGGTGCAGGGCCGTACAGTCCGCACAAAAGCGTTTAGAGGGGAGGGTGCGTTAAATGACTTACAGGAGTGAGGCCAAGCAGTTGCAGCCTACGACGATCGGTGATAAGACAGGAACGTAAGATAGAGTTTAGCGCTCAAAACCGCCTCCCGACGAAATACCCAACACTAGTACCGAGGAGTATTCGGTACAGCGAACAAACAAGGAGTTTTAGTTTGGATTGAAGTTCCGCTCTACGGGGGTTAGGCTCTCGATGCGTTCTCCTTGTATAAAAAAAAAACATACATACTTACTTTTATTATTTGTACAGTCATTACATTAGACATGACTTTTTAGCGTGAATACTGGTACAAAATTTACATACATATTTAAA